ACCCGCGCGCTGCCGATCGCAAATCGCGGGAGGGTCGCGACGAAAAGAGCCGAGCCACAAACTCCGATATCGCGGGCGTTTCGCCGCCGATCGGACCTCTCGCCGAGCTCCGCCTGCCCCCGGCGAGCGCAATCTGGCTCGCGTGAACCCGCGGCTGCCCCGTTAGTTGTTTTGCAAACTGGGCCAGCCAAGTCAATTTTGAAAAGGGCGGGGCGATCGCCGCCGTGAGCCACCGCGCGCGGCCTCGCAAGGCTAGTCGACCACGCGTGACACCATCGCCCACTTTACACATGGGCAAGCACCAGCGTCGATGCCACAGCTGGAGCAAAGGCGCCGCGCGGCGCCGGCCCACGCGTCGAGCGGCCCGACGCGCCCAAGGCGCATGGCCCGCGCACTGCCCGCGAGAGAGAGAGAGAGAGAGAGAGAGAGAGAGAGATATATATAGAGAGAGCGAGAGAGAGAGAGAGAGAGCGAGAAGGAGAGAGAGAGAGAGAGAGAGACAGGAAAAAAGAGAAAGACATATAAAGAGAAACAGCGAGAGAAAGTTATACGGCACTAGCGAGGGAGTGCGTGAATGCTATGTGGAGGAAGGTAGGACACTGTTTTGGGTTGACTGTCTGCACGCGAACGGAAGCAATCATGCATGCATGCCGAATGCATGTACGCGCATGCGCGCGCGGCGCAAACTGCGCCGATGACTTGGTGACGCTTACAGAGAAAAGCGATGGTGTACATTTGTTTCCATCGTCGGCCCCCTTGGGGCATGGCCCCGTTGCAAGCGCGCCAGCGACGGGCCGCCCGAGGCGGGTGCTGGGGCGCCCAATTGAAACCGCAGCAACCTGAAGCGTTGCAGAGGATGCTGAGGCCGCGGCGCAGAAGTGAAAAAGGGGCGCGCGCAACTGGCGCACCGATGGGACACAGTCGCCGCACCCCCAGCCGAAAGGCGGGCAGCGTTACAAAGACTGCGGTGCAAGAAATGATAGAACTCGCACGCTCGCCCGCTGAAATAAACCAGTTGGAATCCCACACTGCGCGCCGTCGCCACAAGAAGTGCTTCGCCCTCCTCGCGATCCAGGCGCGCCCCCGCCTGCCGCGAAACAGGCGCGCCCGCTCTCGCCACCCGCGCCCCCCACCCCCGAACCTCCGGGTGGAGATAACGCGCGGCTTCCTCCGCCGCAGCAAAGTCAGCGAGGGGGTCAGCGCGTGCTGGGGGGGGGGGGGGGGGGCAGCGGCAGGCGGCGCCTGCCTCGCGCCAAGGCCCGGGCCCCGCGCGGAGGCTTCCAAGATAGCAACAGAGACAACAGTCGTGCCAGAGGCAGGCTGGCATGAGCCTGGGGCGGGGAGAGCCTCCTGCGCAGGCGGGGCGACGCAGCGCTGGCCTCTCGAGCCTGGGCGCGCGCCGGGAGCGCTAGCATGCCCGGGGTCGAGACAAGACCGGCGGGCGCCGCCTGGGAGGCTCCAACGCCTCGCGGCGGAGGCTGGCTGGCGGCAAAGCACACGCGCCCAGCTCCTCTGCGCGAGCTGCTAGTGATCCTGGACGAATCACGGTAGTGAGGGTAGAGGCCTTCGTATGTTCGCCGCAGTGCGGTCGGGGCCCCTACCGAAAGACGCCGGCCGCGCCCCTGACCTAACTCGCGGCAGCGACTCGGGGCGCATGCTCCGCAAACCGCGCAGAGGAACAACCTCTTCTCAACGTCATCCTTGGGCACTCTACAGCAAGCTAGAGCGCGGCCCAGAAACAGATCCAAGGTTTCCCGCCACGTGCTGCTCATGCCATTACATCCGGTCATGGGCATGGAAGATGCGTCTTTCCAGAGAGCTAGGCAACGCAGGCAGCGAGACCTTCCGTGCTCGAGATGCCCGCGCGGGGGATCACTGGGGCGGGGTGTGACTGGAGGCGAGGCTACGTGCGACATCGCATCTGCAACATGCGGGCGCGCTCCCCTTGGCTATAACGAGGGGTGCGCTATCACAAGCAGCGCCCGCGCAGAGCCACTAATGCACTCGCGCGTAACATGCCAGGTGAGATTATCGCCTGCTCGTTCCCCAACTGTGGGAACATGCTCCTCGACCCAACTCCCCGTGAACGTTCAGCTAGCCCCGTTTTCCTGTAAAGTTGAATGCGTCTCTGTAACTTGCGCATGCGCCTATCTCTTGCGCATTATATGTGATGTGTGCTTCAGTGTCTGCGTGTCGCATGCATTTCATTGGCATCCGTTTCGCGCGCATGTTCATGCGCATTGCCTCGGACTCCAAACCAGGTTCCCGTTGATTTTCTCGAGCGCCAAGCCCCCCGGCCCCGCCCGACCGCCGTGCCCATGTCCGATGGTCTCTCAATCCCTCCGCGCACGTGCCGGCGGCGCAGCGCCAATCCCCGCCCGTGATCGCAGCGCCGGTAGGCGCGACCCCCTGTCGGGCACCTCATTTAAACATCTGGCTATCCGCCGCAGGGGGCGGCGGCACGAGGAAGACGTGAGCAATTGCGCATGAAAAAGCAATCGAGCGGCATCGGAGATGGCGCGCTTCATCCTCAGTCCGTCGCTGCAAAGCAAGATGCGCAGGCGCCCGTCGATGCTGCTTTGCCTCTAGGCAAGGCCCTTGATCGCGACTGCCATCGTCGCCGCCGGCGATCTTCTCCATTTGCCCGAAAAGGCGCCGGCCGCTTCGCGCAGAAAAGCGTGCTTCACGTCGTGAGGCGACGTCGGTCATCTTAATCTTCGCCACCGAGAACTCAGCGTCATTCGCGGCCTAGGCCCGCGCGGGTTCCTGCTGCGCAGTTCTGATCGCGCGGTTCCCCAACTGGACCGTCAACAAAAAAACGGCGGAGCGCCATCCTGGACTCGGCCGCGAGCTCCTGGAAGTCGCCCTTGCCCTCCTCATCGGGCGCGTCGCCCGCGGCGATCCCATCCGTCTCCCGCTTTGAAGCGGGCTCTCTGCCGCGCGGTCGCCCTTTTCCGAGGGGCATCGGCGCTTGGCATCCGCCGATTCATTCGCCGCGTCATTTTCGCAAGAACCGGCGCGAGTCCGGCGGCGGCAGGGGGGCATGGGGGGGGCAGATGAGGATGAGCGCAAAAGAAAAGGGCACGGCACAGCACGCTAACATATAGACCACGCAGGAGAAGCGAGCAAGATCCTTCGGCTGATCGGCGATTGCCGATTTGCGGCGCGCGCGCCCCGCTTCGGAGCCTCGACCTCGGGCTCCACGCGCGCGCCCTCTGCCTTCGCGTCGATCGACTCGCCGCCGCCGTCGTCGCCAGCTGGGGCATCTCGGGGCCGACTGTGGCGAGGCACCCCCCCGATCAAGCCCCCCCCCCCGCCCCGCCCACCCGCCCTATCTTCGCACCGCAACGCCATCTCGGCCCCAGCATGCGTCTGCCCCTGTCTAGCCCAGCCCATCGCCCTCATTCCCCCCGCTCAAGTCATTCCTTTCCGTCTCACCGTCCTCGCCCAATTCCCCCCTCGCCACCCTCTTCCCCCCCCCCCCATCCTCCTTCCCCCCCCCCCTTCCCACCCCCCCGTCGCCGTCGCCCGCGCCCCCCCCCCCCCCCCTCATCGCCTCCATTCTGCGCCTCCGCGCCCCCCCCCCCCCCACTCCGCCCACCCCCCCCACCCCCCCCTCGTCGCGGCGCCTTGTTTGCCGGGTGCCTCGTCGCGGAACCGCTCGGCACGCGCGGCCCGCGCCCCGGCGAAGCATTTCGAGATGCCCGTCGGCGCGGTAGCGCGGGGCCGGGCCGAACTCAATCGCAGCCGACTAGAAATCGACAGCGATAGATTCGACTCGCGAGACCCCCTTCTATCGCCCTTTCCCCATCCCCCTGCTCATTCTTCTCCTCCCCCTCCTCCTCCTCCTCCTCCTCCTCCTCATCCTTGGCCATCGTTCTTCTCCTCGCCCTCCTCGTCTTCGCCCCCGCCGCCGCCGCCCCCCCCCCGCGCCCTCGGCGCCTGCCCGAGCGGGCAGGCAGGCGGGGGGTCGCCGCAACTAGGCGCGCGGCACTCGCGTGTGAATATATAGACACGCATGTAGATCTATACATTTGCTTATCTATCTGAGCGAGGGGGCCGAACGGACATCCATTGCCCCTGGGTGCGCGGCCGAAGCGCGGATCCGCGGTGAAGATTCTGCTCGCCGTTGTCGTCGTCGTCGCCCCCCCCGCGACTCGGCCCGCGACCCGCCCGCGACCCGCGCCGCGACCCGCCCGCGACCCGCCCCGCGACCCAACCGCGACCCGCCCGCGACCCACGCGCGATCCGCTCGCGACCCGCCCGCGACCCACCCGCGACCCACCCGCGACCCGCCCGCGACCCGGCCCGCGACCCGCCCGCGACCCGCCGTCGACGCACCCGCGACCCACCTGCGACCCAACCCGCGACCGCCTACATTGTTGCAATAAGAAAATCGACGCCTGCGGCGAGCCCGTTGCATACCGTGAGAAATTTTGCGCCTGCGGCGGGCTTCATCAATGCCTCGCAGACTGCTGACGCCCCCGCTGCCCCCTCACTCTTATCCACAACCGCGAGAGTTCCACGTATATGTATATATATATATATATATATATGAGCTTAGGCTGCTACCCGTGCCAAGATAAACTTTTTCTTCGGCATGCTCCGCTGCTTCGAAGCAAATCAAGAGAACGAGCGGCAGGCGGTGACAGGGCAGCACGATGGCGCTGACCTGAACGGACTGAGCGAGCGGCATTCAAGACTCTGAGCCCCCTGTGGGGCGAAGTGACGCCCAGGAAGGCGGGGGATGGGGACGGCAGGCGGGTCCTGGAAAAAACTTGAGCATAAGTACAACATACGGCACTGAACGCAGCAAGATCGTTAATGTGCAAGCACAACGCATGAGCTTAGGCTGCTACCCGTGCCAAGATCAACTTTTTTCTTCGGCATGCTCCGCTGCTTCGAAGCAAATCAAGAGAACGAGCGGCAGGCGGTGACAGGGCAGCACGATGGCGCTGACCTGAACGGACTGAGCGAGCGGCACTCAAGACTCTGAGCCCCTACCCACTGCCATCCAGTGTCTTGGCCTTGGCCACCACCAGCGCTGCAAGATCTTTGCAGAGCGCCGCAGGGTAAGGGCACGCCCTCGAAGTCCAGAACACACCGAGCGGGTCTTTACCCTTCAGTGTTATGTGTGCCTTACCTGTTGCACTACACCTTTTTTGACAGCCTGTACACAGGCGGAGGGAAGGCTGCGCTGGCAGCCAATTGAAAAGCAAAAAGGTAGTCGCCTTTTTCCAGGGGACCTGATACTGGCAATAATCAACAGAAGCCCACTCGGCGTGAGCGTCGCGGGCCATGTCCAGCAGCTTTGGGACCAGCCAGAGGCGAGACGAGCGAGGGTTCTCGAGAGAGAAGGGGACTCCCGCCTCGACGGCAGCAGCCAGCAGGCGCAGAACATTAGCGAGCAGACGATTGGCGATCCTCACCTTCTCAGCGTCCGCCGCCGCCAGCAGAGGGAGGCCGTGCAAATTCGCATCGTCCCTGAGCGGCGGCGGACCCTGTCCATCATTCTTCCTTGCCCGGCTCCACGTTTTGCAGTCCAGGCCGACATACACCCCCGCGACCTCCTTCCGTGAGATCCTCAAAACCAGACTGTCGATGAGGGACGCATCAAGAAGGTCGGCTCGCGGGTCGTCAGCGTAGTCCCAGCCTTCCGAAGCCCAGCCGGCGGCGTGGACGGCCTTGGCCAGGGCGGCGGAGCCGCACATGAGCTCGACGAACGGCCTGGCACGGGCGCGGGCTGCGGCACCTTGGCAGAAGGTGCGGGGCGGCGCATGCTGGGCGCAGGCGCCGCCTGCAGCCGCGCCGACGGCGTGGCCGTCCGCGGCCTCTGGGGCCGCGCCAGGAGCCTCTCGAGCTCGGCGTGCAGCTTCGCGGGCGCCGCCTCGGCCCTGCGGCGGACGTCGACTGGGGGCGCTGCAAGCTCCTGCTGCACCAGCGCGTGGGCCTCGTAGCGTTTCATCGTGTAGTCGCTGGCCCACCGCCCGCGCCTCTTGATCTCGCCCATGGATCGATACCTCTTGAGGCGATCGTGCGACGGGCCACCGTGGCGGAGCTGGTAGGGCACGTACCTGGTGGGCACCTCGGCCAGCTCCAGCGACTGACGCCACATGACGCCCAGCTGCGCGGCGGTGAGACGGACCGGCGGCGCCTGCGGGTCCCCCGACCTCGCGCGCGCCAGCAGCGGGCCCAGCCAGGGCACCTCGACCGAATCGAGGAGCAAGCTCTCGTCCGACAAGCTGGTCTTGCTGTACTCGCCCCTCGCGCTGGGGTGCAGGTTGAAGCCGTAGTCCGTGCGCGAGCCCGAGGGGGGGAAGAGGTCCTGCTCGCGCAGGCCGACGGCCTCGGAGGGCCTGAGGTACACCCAGAACATCGTCACCACCATGAGCGCCGCGTGCGGGGACCCCAGCTGCGTGGCCATCACCAGCGCGACCAGCGCGACCACCTGCCAGGGCATGGGCGGGCGCGTCTGGCCCGGGTCCAGGCGCCTCCAGCCCTGGAGGGCCCGACAGAAACGCGGCAGGCGGAGCGACCCCTTTCGGGAAAAGTCGGAGCGCGCCGAGATGTACGCGGCATATGTTTTCAGGACGGCGGCTCTCTCGAGCCCGATGCTCCAGGCGTAGTCGGCGTAGTTCATCGGCGCCAGGTCGACCTGAGCCGCGGTGTGCAGCGGCAGCTCGAAGAGGTCCACGAACGTCTGGAAGTCGTCGAGGGCGTCCTTGTAGTATGCCTGGGTCTCGGGCGCCACCGCGTGCCACTCCAGGAAGCTCCTCTCGTCCTCCCCCACCATCGTGAACGGCCCAGAGGCCCGCAGACGGTGAGCGATCCTCTCCTCCTTCGTCGCCCCAACAAACGGCCTGCCCTTCAAAAAGCTCTTCTGCACGATCTTGGGGCTGGCAGCTGGGCGCTTGACGGACACCGCGCGGGGCAGGCGAGACACCTCCCGACTTGGCATCCCAGCGCCTCGACCCCTCATCGGAGGGGTTGAGCTCCGAAGGTATCCACCGATGCTCGAACCGCGACGCAGTGGCGACGGAGTAGGCAGCCTCTCTGCGGCAGCACAGCAGAAGCGGATAGGAGGAGCATCGCCCACGTCCGAGCGCGAGCACGGTGCCGAGGTTGTCCCCGAAACGTAGATGACGGAGACCAAAGGAGGCCTGGGCCCTTGTGATATGACGAGATGTCATGTTCGAAGCCCTCCCCTCGATAATAGTGATGGGCTCCTTGACGTGAGCCCTGGCCGAGACCACCTGCTTCCACTGGGGGCCCTGCAGAGCCTGTACGGGCACCTCTGCGAACTGCGGGTTGAGCTCCCAGAGGTCCTTGCCAAGGTCCATGCTGGTGCTCTTGGGGGCCTTGACGGTCTCGATGTCGCTGAAGACGTCGAACGGCCCCTCCGAGGCCCCGTAGCCTCCAGAACGGACTCCCAGAGCAGAACGGCGTGCCGAGATAGCCGAAGGCATGCGATATCTCCATCTCTCACTGACTGACCCGATACGTTTGACAAGATCTGATGACAGTGTTGTCTGGCATGTCGCCATGCCCGTCAAGCAAGCGTCGCAAGCGAAGACCGTCGGCGACCACTGAAGCCGAAGGTTAGCAGACATCAGCGGCAGCAGGCGACGGCACTGCTCGACTTCGCGGGCAGCTGAGGGCCAGAGACGGGCTCGCACGAGATAGCAATCTCTGACGAAATCATACAAACTCCTGAGGATCGAGAGCAGCTCCCTCTTCAGCATCAGATGATCAATGAGATGACCCACGTACCTCTCCACCTCCCTCCCCGTGACTCTAGGGCGCTGCTCTAGCCACAGTGGAGCTTGGCGGAGGCGCTCGGAGCGCTCGGGCCGTGAGAAAACTCGCCCAGACGCGCCTTCGATCAGACGGCCGAGGCTGGTGAAGACGTCAGTGGCCTCGACCACCTCGTGAATCTGCACGCCATGCTTCCTCCAGGCGTCGCAGATCTGGTGCATCAAGACATTGCATCTGACAGGGTCGGTGCCGATGACGTTGATGTTATCGCAATAGGGGAGGAGGCAAGGGACCCCCCCGTCGAGCGGGGGCACCGGACCGTGATCGGTCACCACCCGCGGGAACCCGAGCCCCGAGGCAGAGCAGCAGACATGCGCATTCGCACGCTGCCCAAGCCAGAAAAGCCCAAGACCAGCCCATCGGAACGACCCGCAGGAACGGCCACACCCAGCCCCCTGAGGGGCCCTCGGGAGTGTCCACTGCCTCAACCCCCCATTGCGACAACGAAGCCTGCGACACCGGCGGCAGCGAGAAGAACAGTCCCAGCTCCTCCCTCAGGCCGAGAGCGTAGAAGTAGTTGCGCACATCAGCCTGGGCGCAGAAGAGCTTGGTGCTGAAGCTGCCGTCCTCCTTACGATCATCAGGGAGCTGTAGGCGACCGTGCGCAGCCGATGTCCCCATGGCCAGCGGCGGCGGGTCGCGAAAACGTCGATTTGGCACTCTAGCGCCCCACGCGAGACGCTGTGCTCCACTCTTCTTGGCCACGAAAAAAGGGGTGACTAAATCCTTCGGGCGGCACGTGAAACCCAGCATGTTAGCCTTCACCAGGTGGCCGATGAAGGTGTGGTCTGCCACAGGGTCACGCTTCAAAACTTCGTCCATGTAGGGAGTGACGGGCGGCTCGCTATCCAAGACGCGGGACCACTCGTCAGGAGTCTTCATCATCGCTTGCTCGTAGTCCAGCACGTAGCTCCCCCCGATCCCGTCGAGCACCGACTCAACAGGAGGTATGACCGCACCCACTTCTGGGATGTCGACTCGGGATCTGACGTACCTTACCACGGGACTCGGTGCCTCGTCCGCGGTGTAGGACAGGCTGGAGGCCAGGAGCTCCTTCGCGGCTCCACGGCGAGAAAAGTGAGTGTCAGACTTCGGGGCCATCCTGACCTCGTTCAAAATGGTGGCGGTAGCAAGCCGCTGAGCCGCCGTGATGGGCCCACGCTGCTCGCACGGAGGATGGAGAGCGTTGAGACCCGCAATGGCATCATTGGCGCACTGCTCCGTCTGCCGCCTATGGGCCAGCCTTCGCCTCGTCGACGTAGACGCTGGCGCAGAAGTAGGCGGAGTCGGCTGAATGGAGGGCAGCGGGAACAGATCACGCTGGCGATCGTCCGCTGCACTCAGCCCAGGAGGGCGTCCCATGTCACACGATCCTCGGACGGTCGGTACCTCGCGATCCCCGAAGCCTGCCCTGGCTGGAGGGCGTGAGGTGCGTGCCGCTGGGCCCCCACGGCCACAGTCGGTCGGTACCCCACGACCCTCAGCGCCAGGAGCAGTGCGAGGTCGGAAGGTGCGTGCCGCCGAGGCACCACAGGCCTTGTGTACGTCGCGGGCCGGCCAGCCCCCGCGACTGGGAGCCGTCGTGATCCCTGCCCGCCAGTACCGCTGGCGTCGGTCCTGCCGCCCCCCTTGCCGCGGCGCAGCTTCTGCTCCTCCTTCGCCTTGCGAGCCTCCTTGAGGATCGCTGCCCTGTCGCGCACGCCCGCGGCCACGTGGCGCTGCAGGTCGGGCGCGACGGCGGCGCCCTGGCGATGAGTGGCCCAGCCCATGAACTCATCGGCCGCGGAGTAGTCTGGGTTCGAGGGAGAGGCCGAGTGAGCATCCTCGATGACCTGGATCCTGCGCACGACGAGCTCGGCGCTCTGGAGCGCAGGGGCGTTGAGCTGGTCCACGGTCACGATTGCCTCCAGCACATGGCACAGCACCTCGTGTTCGTGAACTGAACGATCTCCATCAGGGATGCGAGCCGACCTCAGCCAGTTCGAGTGGTGAGTGACTGGCGTGAGCCCGGCATCCCGATACGACCTCAGCACCCAATCCGTAGTGCGAGGGCCCTGCAGCATGATGCCGCCCTCAGGCTCATCCACGATCTGCATGTCCACGGCCTCGCTGCATGGGCGACGGCGCGCCCCCTGCTGGTTGAAACGCACAGGCAGCACGCGTAGGTCGTCCACGACGAAGGCGTCCACGTCGGCTAGGGCCACCTGGCGCGCTCCGACGAAGCCCCCTCCATGAGGCACCAGCGCCAGCTCCCCGTGAACGACGGCGCCCTGAGGGAGAGGATCAGGCATCTGCTCGCCGCGCCGCATCCCCTGGAAGTCCTCGATAGCCAGCCACACTGTGCCAGCCACTGCGGGGGCGGCCGCGGCTCCAGCGCGGGGGGCCCCTCCCACCACGCCAGCGCCTCGAGGCACGATGGCCCCCTGTGGTGCGGCCGCCGCGGGAGGAGCCGCCACGGGCGCCGCTGCGGCGGCAGGAGCAGCGGCAGCAGGCGGCGCCACCCCCCCGACAAGGAGCGAGCCCTCGCGGATCAGCTGCTGGACCTCGGCCGCCGTCGGCACCTGGCGGAAGCGGTAGACGTGGGCGGGGTTGACCCCAGGGGGGGTGGCGCCCTGCGCTCCCGACCACCGCACATCTCTGAGGTCGTCGGACGTCGTGTACTCTGCGTAGTGGTCCCCATCTGGCGAGTACGTGCTGACAAGACCTGGATCCCCGATCGAGACCCCTGTCGCGAGCCTCTCATGATACACCGGCGCTCCAGGCAGGTCATACTGGAAGATCACGTAGTCACCTACTCTCGCCATTGCGCCTCCTGATCAGCTGCAGCTGCTCTCGCGCTCGATCCCCCACCCCTGTCGCCTCGGCGGCGACGCGGCCGCCCCGCCGCCAGACTGCGCCGCCCAGCCCGAGCCCCGCAGAGACTCCCGCCAGGTATCCCCAGCAGGCCGAGGGAATGTCGAGCCCGTCAGGGACGAGCTCCACTCCTGCAGGCGGGCAGGAAAGATTCACCAGCGGCACGGGGCACGCTGGGGTTGGGCAGGCCAGCGCTGGGCAGACCTGGACGGGGCACGAGACGTTCGCGGGCGGGCACGCCAGCGAGACCGCGGGGCACTGGGGCACCGCCGAGATCAGGGACTGGCGCAGGGCCAGCAGCTCGAGAGCACGGACCCCTGCAGACTGGAAGGTCTCGATGAGGGCGGACTGAGCCCCCATCAGGGAAAACCGCTCCTGGAAAAAACTTGAGCATAAGTACAACATACGGCACTGAACGCAGCAAGAGATCATTAATGTGCAAGCACAACGCATATAAATATGCATGTGTATATATATATATATGCACACACATAGACCCCCCAAAAAATAAACTAAACAATGCGCTACCGAGGAACCCCACATACTGATGTTTAATATTATGTGTTTGCTCGTCATTATCATCTTTGCGCAATCCTGCGTTCTAAACCCTCGTCGCGAATCGTCGTCGTGCTTGTCGCACTCGTCGTCGCGCTCGTCGTGCTCGTCGTCGTATTCGTTGCCGTTCTATCGTCTTACTCGTCATCGTACTCGTCGTCGCACCTCGCCATCGTACTCGTCTTCGCATTCGTCGTCGTGCTCGTCGCACTCGTCGTCGCACTCGTCGTCGTCCTACTCGTTGTGCTCGTAGTGCTCGTGGCACTCGTCGCCGCGCTCGTGGTCATCGTCGTCGTCGTCGCCCTCCTCCTCCTCCTCCTCGCCCCACCCAATCCTCTCAACTCCTCCTCGCTCCTCTCAATTCCTCCGCACTTCCCTCAACTCCTCCGCACCCCTCTCAACTCATCCTCTCACCTCCTTCTGTACTCATCTTTCTGCACTCCTCCGCACTCCTCTCAACTCCTCCTCCAAACTCCTCCCCACTCGTTTCATTCACCTCGGCGCCCATCTCGAGCATTGATTTCTTGAGCTGCTCGCACGGCGGCGGCAGCGCGGCCATGGCGCATTTGGGCGCCATGACGGGGGCCGTACCTTTGACGGACAGTCACTAGCAGTCGCCCGCGATCACATATCGCGCGGTCTGAGCCGACATGAGACAGGGTGACTACAATTCTCGATGCTGATAATGCTGATGATGCTGATGATGATGATGATGGCGCCCCCCCCTGCTTGCGTACCCCTGTGGCCTCAAGAACAAGTGACGCGGCTACGCCCTGGTAGACTCCACCCCCTGCGCACCCCCTGTGGTGTCGAGAAACTACCACGCCTGCTATGCCTGGACGACTGGGGCGTATAGAGACCGCGGTGAGAGACCACCCCCTGCGCACCCCCTGTGGTGCCGAGAAGGTGCCACGCCTGCTATACCTGGACGACTGGGGCGTATAGAGACCGCGGTGAGAGACCACCCCCTGCGCACCCCCTGTGGTGTCGAGAAATTGCCACGCCTGCTATGCCTGGACGACTGGGGCGTATAGAGACCGCGGTGAGAGACCACCCCCTGCGCACCCCCTGCGGTGTCGAGAAAGGCCACGCCTGCTATGCCTGGACGACTGGGGCGTATAGAGACCGCGGTGAGAGACCACCCCCTGCGCACCCCCTGTGGTGTCGAGAAAGTGCCACGCCTGCTATGCCTGGACGACTGGGGCGTATAGAGACCGCGGTGAGAGACCACCCCCTGCGCACCCCCTGTGGTGTCGAGAAAGTGCCACGCCTGCTATGCCTGGACGACTGGGGCGTATAGAGACCGCGGTGAGAGACCACCCCCTGCGCACCCCCTGTGGTGTCGAGAAAGTGCCACGCCTGCTATGCCTGGACGACTGGGGCGTATAGAGACCGCGGTGAGAGACCACCCCCTGCGCACCCCCTGTGGTGTCGAGAAAGTGCCACGCCTGCTATGCCTGGACGACTGGGGCGTATAGAGACCGCGGTGAGAGACCACCCCCTGCGCACCCCCTGTGGTGTCGAGAAAGTGCCACGCCTGCTATGCGAACTGGGGCGTATAGAGACCGCGGTGAGAGACCACCCCCTGCGCACCCCCTGTGGTGTCGAGAAAGTGCCACGCCTGCTATGCCTGGACGACTGGGGCGTATAGAGACCGCGGTGAGACCACCCCCTGCGCACCACTGCGACGAACCTGTGCGCACCCCCTGTGGTGTCGAGAAAGTGCCACGCCTGCTATGCCTGGACGACTGGGGCGTATAGAGACCGCGGTGAGAGACCACCCCCTGCGCACCCCCTGTGGTGTCGAGAAAGTGCCACGCCTGCTATGCCTGGACGACTGGGGCGTATAGAGACCGCGGTGAGAGACCACCCCCTGCGCACCCCCTGTGGTGTCGAGAAAGTGCCACGCCTGCTATGCCTGGACGACTGGGGCGTATAGAGACCGCGGTGAGAGACCACCCCCTGCGCACCCCCTGTGGTGTCGAGAAAGTGCCACGCCTGCTATGCCTGGACGACTGGGGCGTATAGAGACCGCGGTGAGAGACCACCCCCTGCGCACCCCCTGTGGTGTCGAGAAAATGCCACGCCTGTTTTTTGCGTTCTGGCTTTTTCGGCTTCCGGACGCTCCAAGACGGCCCAAGAGGCCCCCAAGACCGCTCCATGACGGCCCACGAGGCTCCCAAGACGGCCCCGGAACGGCCCAGGAGGGCCCCCAAGACGGCCCAAGTGCCGCCCAAGACGGACCAAGAGGCCCCAAGACGGGCCCAAGAGGGGCTCAAGAGGGGAACCGAGAACTGAAAAATCGAGCCCTCCGCCCCAGAAGGCGCCCACCCAGGAGGCCCCAAAAAGGCCCCAAGAGGCCCCCAAGAGGCCCCCAAGACGCCCCAAGAGGCGCCCAAGAGGCCCAAAAGAGGCCCCAAGAGGCCCCCAAACAGCCCCCAAGAGGCCCCAAAACTCGGCTAGCCCACAACGGTGCGACAATATGGGCCGGCGGAATGAGCGAAGCGATTGAATAATAGTTTAATCATTTTTGATGTTCGGTGGCGTCCCTCACGCAGATCGGCGGATTCAGGGCCGAAACATCAATTCGCCGGCCCAGCGGGCCAGGGCGTGCTAAGATCTCCGGTAACTGGTTAACAGTATTAACAGTATTTCTAGTTCGCGCGCGCGGGGCGGCCCCTGGGGGTCCCCCGGCGAAAAGTACCCCGACCAACGCCCGGTCGCCGCCCGACCAAGTCTACTCAGAGATGGTTTTCCTTCTGGGTGCGGCCTCTCAGGCTCCCCAGAGCGCGCTCAGAGTGCCCCAAGAGGCCCCCAAGACTGCCCAAGAGGCCCCCGAGACGCCCAAAGAGCGCTCGAAGACGCCGAAGATGACCCCAAGACGGCCCAAAAGGCCCCCAAGACAGCCCAAGAGGCCTCCAAGACGCCCCAAGAGCCTTCCAAGAGGCCTCCGAAGAGAGCCCCAAGAGGCCAAAATCGTTGATTTTCATTTGTTTTTTCGATGTTTTTTGTGTTCTGGCTTTTTCGGCTTCCGGACGCTCCAAGACGGCCCAAGAGGCCCCCAAGACCACTCCAAGACGGCCCACGAAGCTCCCAAGACGGCGCCGAAACGACCCAAGAGAGCCCTCAAGACGGCCCAAGTGCCGCCCAAGACGGACCAAGAGGCCCCAAGACGGGCCCAAGAGGGACTCAGGAGGGATACCGAGAACTCAAAAATGGAGCCCTCCGTCCCAGAAGGCGCCCAGGAGGTCCCAAAGAGGCCCCAAGAGGCCTCCAAGAGGCCCCAAGATGTCGCCAAGAGGCCCCAGGAGACTCCCAGGAGGCCCAAAAGAAGCCCCAGAAGGCTTCAAACATGTCTCCCAGGCGCCCCCGAACGGCCTCTCAACAGACCCCAAGAGGCCCCCCAAAGAAGCATCTTGACGACGACTCTATTTCGCCCCATCGAGAGACGACCCCCAGGGAACTGCTTCACCATCAAAACTCCCCACGCAACGCGTCCGAACGACACCCGCCCCCAAGAGCGCAACATGGGCAACGAACACACAGACAAAAACCAGCGATGCCATATCACGGGCCGGCGGAATGAGCGAAGCGATTCAATAAGATTTCAACATTTCTTAACATGTGGCAGCACCCCTCACGCATATCAACAGGGTCACGGTAGAACAACCCACGAGAATTGCTACATGTCTGACATTCGGTGGCACCCCTCACGCAGATCAGCAAGGCCAGGGTCAACACACACACACACATGGGATCGGCCATGGCCCAGAAATAACGTCAGAAACCTCAGCGCGTATCATGCGGGAGCAAGTTCAAAATGCAACACCGAGTTCTACAATACCATCATTCTCTCAATGTGTCTTGCCGATGCTTCTTCACGGCGGCGCCGAGGCCTCATGATGTAGCTCTTGCGTAGCCCATTATCCGAGGAGCGTTCAATGAAATAAGTTGAACATGTAAATGACTTTTTAAACCATGAACGACATCTCAGTTCGCAGGCGGCCCCTTGGCGGGCAGACATGGAACCCTGGACGCGCGGGAGACAGAACAGAATGTTCCTCGGGACCCCGAAGCTGAGGAAGACCCGAGCCCTACCGACTACGGAGGATTGGGGGAGGGAAGAGGGAGCAGACGGGGGCGAGAGCACGCTCGTGACCCAGCGCGCGTCGCTGCTCGTGATCAACTTTGTGGGCCCCCCTCTGCGCTTGGCTCGTCGGCGTCGGCCGCCTTCCTGATGGCTTTCGGGGCCGCCGCCGCAGGCTGCGCACGCACTGATGACAAACCGCACTGCGGGGCAGCTAGGAACGGACGCCCCTCTGCTCTGTAGGTGCGCACATCCGCGCGAGCGGACCGGCCTTCGACTTCCAAGGCCCGACGGCCTCTCCACGGTGGCCTCCCGGCACTCAAACCCGCAGCCCCATGCGCAAACCGCGCTAGGATGCCCAGGGCGTGCAGTCGGCCTCCCGGCACGCTGCGGCCCTGGACAAGCCGGCAGCCTCCCGGCTCGCAAACCTGCACATTGCGCTCCCGCACTGAACTGGCTACGCAGGCGGGCCTCCCGGCACGCAAACCTGCGACCCTGGGCGTGCGGGCGGCCTCCCAGCGCCAGCCCCTGCGCAAACCCGCGCTAAGATGCCCAGGGCGTGCAGTCGGCCTTCCGGCGCGCTGCAGCCCTGGACAAGCAGGCGGCCTCCCGGCTCGCAAACCTGCACATTGCGCTTCCGCGCTGAGCTGCAAGCGCAAGGCTGAGCTGCAAGCGCAACCGGCCTCCCAGCACGCAACCTGTGCTCCCGCAGCCAGCCAGAAAGAGGAGCACGCCGAAAACCAGTTTCCCCGTCACTCCCCCTTGACCGCGCCCGCGGCCGAGGTTGCGACAAAGGACACCCAGAGGCGGGGTCAGGGTCCAAAAGCACATGGGATTCGCCACATTTCCAAATTCGGTGGCGCCCCTCCCGCAGATCAGCAAGGTCGAGTTCTAAAACCACAAAAAGGATTTGCTACATCTCTGACATCCGGCGACACCTCTCACGCAGATCAGCGGAGTTAGGGTCTAAAAACACATGGGATTTGTCACACTCCTGAAAGCTGGTGGCAGCTCTCATGCAAATCGGCGGGGTCAGGGTCGAAAAGCACAAAGGATGTGCTACATTTCTTTAATCCGGTGGCATCCCTTACGCAGATCGGCGGGGTCAGGGTCCCAAAACAAAAAGGTGTTGCCAAATTTTTGAAATTCGGTGGCACCCCTCTTACAGATCGGCGGGGTCAGGGTCAAAGAACACATGGGATTTGCCACATGTTTTGAAATTCAGTGGCCCCCTCTCACGCAGATCGGCGGGGTCAGGGTCCACGGCTCATGCAGATCGGCGGGGCCAAGGTCGAAAAACATGTGGGATTTGCCACACGTCTTGAAATTCGGTGGCACCCCTCACGCAGATCGCTGGGGTCAGGGTAAAAAAAGCATGGGATTTGCAACATCTCAGTTCTTCGTAGAACATGCATACGCGAACAAGCACGAAATACAACACCGAATTCAACAATATCATCAGAATCTCAATTTGTCTTGCCGATTATTCATCGTCTTCGCGTGAAGTCCGGACGCTGCTTCACGGCGGCGCCAAAGCCTCACGATTTCGCTTTTGCATTGCCCATTATCCGAGAGAGGGGGCCGGCGACAGGGGGCAAAGCCCTTACCTTGCGGATATCATGGCGCTTTGCCGCGAGGGCCAGCGCATCCTCGCGACAAACAAGAACCCAGACAAGGGGGCGGAGGCGGCGGGATGAGAAGACGGGAAACTCGGCTTTCCGAGATACGGGCCCGGGTTGTGACACTATCGCGTCTCAGCGGCTTGCGCAGAGAATCGATGCCAGCGTCTTGCATAATGTGGCGGGTTGCCCGAATCAGTTTCACATGTTTGTCAAGCGTCTCAGTGTTGAACCCCGCGTTGTTAGCATTTTGGGTGGAGTATTCGATCAGCTCGGCCTGGCTGCTGGAACCAAGGGCGCGAGGATGCGGAGGGGGCGTAGATCAGGGAAGCGAGATATGAAGGCGCTGATAGAGGGAGCGAGTGGTTGAGGGAGTGAGAAGAAAGTTAGAGAGAGAGAGGGGAAGAGAGAGAGAGAGAGAGAGAGAGAAATGGAGAGAGAGAGAGAGAGAAACAAAAAAAAAAAAATGGAGAGAGAAAGAGAGAGGGAGGGAGGTACGGAGAAAGGAGAGAGGAAAGGGAGGGAGGAAAGGGGTATCGGAAACGCGTCTTTAATGTGCAATGCCCACACGGCGGCCAACCGCTCGGTATTCCTGGACAGATTCCCCGCTCGGCTCGCGCCAATGCAGCTGCGGAGGGAGGAGGATGAGGACCTGGAGTAGGATGCTGAAGGGGGAGGGGGGTAGGGAGGCGTAGGAGGGGAAATTACAAGGATGAGTTGGATTGCAGTTTGCAACGGACGGGTGGGAGGATGAGGATGAGGAGGAGGACGATGAGAATGAGGACTGCGGATGAGAAACGGTATTAGATATCTCGAGAGGGCGAGATGGAGGGCAACGATACATGGCGACGTTGGCAACAGCGGCAGCCGAAAAGATACTCATAATACAAATAAGGGTAGCAACAAGCAGAGGATATAATTCGCCGGCCCAACGGGCCAGAGGCGTGCTAAGATCTCCGGAAACTACTTGACAATATTTCCAGTTCGCGCGCGCGAGGCGGCCCCTGGGGGACCCCGGACGAACAGTACCCCGGCCGATCCCCGGCCGGGTCCCGGCTGGGTCCCGGGCGATCCCCAGGGGGGAGGCTATTTTTCGCCACCCCTCACGAGGATCGTGGCCTCCGAGGGGGGGGCTGCAATCGACTACTCCCCCTCCCGCCCCAAAGGGGCCCCCAAGAGCCCCCCAAGAGGCCCCAGGGGAGCCCAATACGCCGCCAAGGAGCCCCAAGACGCTCCAAAAAAGCCCCTCAAAAGCCCCCAAGACGGCCCCAAGAGGCCCCAAATAGCGCTCCAGGGCCGGCGGAATGAGCGAAGCCATTAAATAGACAACACAAATAACACAGGATAAACGAACAACACACAAAACACCAGAGGAGAAAAACACAAACAAAAAAATGATGATACAATCAACAAGAGCAAATAATACTAGAAGAAAGACAACAACAAAAAAAGGTCGGTCCTCCATGGCTGACTTGCTCGCCCCCCGCTTCCGCTTCCGCGGCGTCACCGCCTGCGCATCCTCGTCACCTTCTGTTCCTTCTCATCCTCCACCTCTTCCTTGTATCTTCCACGTTGTCCTCCTCCTCCTCCTCCTCCTCCTCCTCCTCCTCCTCCTGCTCCTCCTCCTCCTCCTCCTTCTCTTCCGAGAGCTGTCGACTCCTCCCCTGGGACCGGCTCTTCGACCTGGGAACCTGGGTTGTTGCAAGGCGGGGATTTATCGACATCCACCGCCTGGGAACCGACGTCCTGGCGCCCCAACGGGCGGAGAATATGGATACAGTTTGCCCCCTGGGGGCCCAAATATGTTCATATCCACCGCCTGTGGAGGTCCACGAAGATCAATCCCACAGGCGATGGTTATGGATAGACCCCCGCCTCGGAATCGGGGACCTGCTGACCCGGGTCAATCCAAACCCAGGTCAGTCAGGCCTTGCAGAGTCCTGCCAACTCCTGCAAGATCCTGCGCCCAAACCCGAGTCGATGCGAAGGATCCTGCGAGATTCTGCAGGATCCTGCACCCAAGCCCGGGGCACTGCGACCCTGGCCCTGCAGGATCCTGCAAGATCGGGCGCTCTGGCTGACCCCCGTTTGCATTGACCCCCGTCTCAAGGGTCCCGAGGAGGAAGAGGAGAAGGAGAAGGACCAGAAGGAGGAGGAGGAGGAGGAGGACGAGATGGAGGAGGAGGAGGAGGAGGAGGAGGAGGAGGAGCAGGAAAAGGAGCAGGAGGAGGAGGACAAGTCTCAAGGGTCCCCGTCTCAAAGGTCCCCGCCTGGGAAGTGTGCTCTGATGGCCCCGGGGGCCCGAGGCGGAGGCCTCCCTCCGTGGGCCTCGAGAGGCCTCCGCGGGGGCCCCCCGGCTTCAGGCCACGGCTCTCTGTCGCTGCGCTGGAGCAGAAGGACGGAACGCAGCACACGAGACGAGACCGTGGCGAGGATACGCTCGGGTGAGGCTAGAATCCAGAATCTCTGAGACGCGGCGGCTCTGGCGGATGTCTCGGACGCCGCTGCCTTCTGAGAGCGTTCCGCAGCGCCCTGGAGATCAACTTATCCTCGTCCTGGCCCCGTCCGAGCATAACACAAAAACGCCCTGGATCGATCTATCCTCGTCCAAGCCTCGTCCTAGCCCCGTCCGAGCAGAGCCACAAACTGTCGGGAGTCTGCGCAAATGTCTTGGGCCGGCGCTGGCCGCCTCCCTTAGCCCCTTCTCTGGCGTCCCGTGCCTCGCCTTCGACGGATGCCTCGGAGCATCGGGGGTCCCCCGAGCGGTGCTTCTGATTGAGAAGACCCGCAGGCGCTTCCAAGCAGGCATCCAGGGGCCCACAGCACTAGGAATAACTGCTCGCCTCCGCTGTTGCTCGTGGAGGCGTCTTGTCCACGACCAAGTTTGGCCCCACGAGTGCCCCAAGCAAACATCGAGTGGCCTCCTCCTCCCCCTTCTCCTCCTTCTCCTTGTGCGCTCGCCACGACTGAGCCAACACATAGCACCAATGACACAATATAGGCGGGCGGAACTAGGGAAACCAAAAGGTACCGATACCGCTACTCCCTGGGCCTCTCCTGGGGTGCGTTCTGACCAGGATTTCGAGGCGAATCCAGCGGTGGCGACGAAGGCCGCCCAGGAGGCCCCAAAAACGGGAAAACGAGGGGAGGGTAGAGGTATGGGTACCTCGACCTCCTGTGAAGCATGGGCGGGCGGAACGAGCGCAGCGCTTGCGCAGCTGCCCCTCGCTGTTGCTGCACGTGGCGCCGAGCGGTCCAGCACCGGAGGCGGTGTCGTCCGACGCCCCGCGGGGGCGGTCTGCATCCTGGCCCGCCCTCCGCGCCGCGCCCGCGGGGGCCCTTAGCAGCGGCGTGTCATGCACGCCGTCTTGCTTTGTTGTAAGTCGGGCCTGTCCCCCTACAGGGGGATCTTGAGCGGCAAATGAGAAAGTACATCAAAAATACTCCCCTAATGCGCAAACAAATAGAAAAATAGTCCCAACGCTATCTTTGACTATGTTTGAATATCCCCCCTGTAGAGGGACAGGCCCGACTGAATGCTCTTTCCCCACGACAGGCGGAGCCGTTTAGGAAGCGCGCCAGAGGAAGGAATCGAGCATGACGGGGCCGTGTTGTAAACGCCCATGGAACACCGATTGCGGGGGTTGGTGTGGTTCTTCCCTCTGGCATGTCCTTCCCGACATCTACAGTCGTTCGGATACGCAGAAATTCCATGTCTGCTCCAGCGAAGCTACTGTACACTGTGGTGCCGGTCGTAGTGGATGTACTGCGTACGCCTCTCCTGTCCTCCGCGCCTCACTCCTTACGAAGCAACCTGAGTAAGTTTAGCAGGCAGCGCACTTCAGCAGACTTCCTTCCCGGCATTTACGGGATAACTGCACACTTTGCGCAAGCACGAACTTTCGAACGTCCGCGCGGGAATCTTGGAGCGGGGGTGGACACTCACACGCCCCTCCCTGGGGCGCGGGGCGCGCCAAAGAGGCGGCGCCAGGGGCGCTTCCAGAGGGGCCAAGGGAAACTAAAAAGTACTGATGCCGCCAATCCCCGGACCTCTCTCCCAGGGTACGTTCTGACAGGATTTCGGTTCGAACCCGACGGCGGCGATGAAGGCCCCCGAGGAAGGCCCCAAAAATTAGGGAGAACGAGATAAGGGGTAGCGGTATGGGTACCTTATCCTTCTCGGAGGAGCGGTGACACCTCACGTTCATGCTGCCCTCTTCTTCCTTGCACCGAGCGATGCGCTTGCCCGCCGCTCGCCGCCTCCGGGGAGCGGGGCACCTGCTCCCGGAATTTGGCCCACCGCGCCCTGACGACGAGCACGCCGCACACGGTGATGCACAGCAGGCCTGCGGGCCGAGGGCGCGCCGCCGCAGCAGCCGGTGCAGATGCGCCGTCGCCGCCATACCGCCGTAGCCGCAGTGGTCACGGTATTCGCCTCCGTCGCCGTCGCAGTCGCCACAGTCGTCGCCACCGTCGTCGCCGCCGTCGCTGGCGTCGCCGGCGTCGTCGCTGACGTCGCCGTCCTCGCCGCCGCCGCCGCTACCGCCGCCGCCGCCGCCGCCGTCGCCGTCGTCGTCGCGGTCGCCTTCTCCGCGGCAGGCGGTGATGCGCCTCGGGCCCCGCAGCCCGCGGGCGCGCGGCTGTCCCGCCTTTTCGGCCCGCGTCGGCCGACGGCGACGGCCCGCTGCGGCGACGACGTTGGTTTCGCGCGAGAAAGACTAAGACGAACTTAGGACGAGGATGCAATCCGGTACAAATAAATCGAGAAACTCTGAGATCCGGCGAGATCGTTGGGATGTCTCGGGCGCCGCGGTTCCAAAATATACCCTTACCCTTACCTAGACAGGGTGCCAAAGGGCGGGGGGGGGACTCGTCGCAGCTGACGGCGGCTGCACAACTGTAGATGCGACGGCGGACTGAGCGTTACAAGGCGCTGTCTTCTTCAGGCGCATGTCGGCGCCGATTGCACGTGCGTTCGAATCGGCGGAGTGGCCGACTCCGCGTTGGCCGCTGTCGAACCAGCCCAGCTATGTCTGAGGTGCGTCTCCGGGGGCACATCGCCAGGCGCTGGGGGTGCAACGCGCACTCGGGGGCGCATGCGAACAACGCTGGCGCGAACATCGACGCGCGACAACCGCCGACTCGCAAATTGCTCGACGCAAAGGCATCGCGAGTCCAGACGCTGGGCGAGGTCGCCGGAGGCCGCCCCACTCGGACGGCCCTCCCAAAATCACCCCAGCTGGGTCTGGTATGTCGTGGCACTTGTCGAGGCGTCGGAGAGCCACCCCAGCTAGGTCTGGGTATGTTTGCTGGACTCAGGAACAAACCCGTGCAGGGCCGAAGTGGCGGCAACCCCAAAGAACGCTCTCGAGCGCATCTCATGCCCCCCAGAGCCGTCCCCTACGCAGCCGCTGCGGCCCCCTGGGGGGCGCGACGTTGCAACGTCGCTCTTCAGGGTAAACCCAGACGCATCGGTTGCCAAGATAGCAAGAATCAGGCGCCATCACTCCTATGAAGCCTTGAACCGCGCGCGCACCACGATGCCCCCAAACGTCCCTATCAAAAAAACAGCACCTGTCGGTGCAATCGGACATCCGAACATTGAACGCGCATCTTGACGCGCGGATGGCGCAGTGGCGCGCGCGGGTCAATTTGATTGGGCACACGGGCAAGCGCCCAATCCCAGTCGCCCTGGCTGACACTTGGCACGGGCAAGTGTCGGACAAATGAATTGACGACCGCGGCCACGACCACGGCGGCGACGACGACAGCGCGGCGGCGCTAACGACGGCGGCAGCGACAACAATCGACACGTCGACGCCAGCCCGGAATGCATCCCGGATCCGTGAGTTGGAGCCCACGGCGAGCTCAAGCGGAAAATGACCGCCATGGCGGCGGGCGGCGGTGCGGATCGCCCGCGGGCGGCGATCAATGCAAGCCGCGCGTTCATGCACCAGCGCAGATGGGCCCTGCCCCACATGCTTTCGGAGAAACGATACAAAACAACGGAGAGTGCATTTTGTCCAACTCCTTCCACGGGCGTAAATATTGAAAGCCAGGATATACATAAGCACACATACACATGTATATATATATATATACATATATACATAGAAGAACCATGCGCGCGCTACGCGCGCTTAGGCTCTACTCGCAGATGAGCCACGGCTGCCGCTACAAGCCCCACTGTGGCCACAACGACGATTTTCAACGTTTTCGGACCCATGTCATCGATGCAAAAAAACGCGTTATCATATCGCGGGGCGCCACGCTCACGCATCTCGAAATCTCGTTGTGGGGGTTGGTTCGGGGCCTCGTTGCGCGCGCGTGGGAGCGCGTTGTTTGTTGTTCCTCTCCCTTGTGCTCCAAGTCTCTCGTTTCCATCGGTCTTTCAGCTGCCGGGTTATCTGCAGAGGGCGCGCGCAGATTTCACGATCATCCGTGCCCTTCTCTGGAATCAGTTGTTGTCGAGTCTGTCCTCGGGCGTGGGGAAGCATGTTTGTGCTGGGCGCCGAACCTCATGCTGGCGATAATCGAACCCGTGGGATCATAAGGTTCGGGCTCACGGGGGATGTTCAATGATTTGCCTGGCATGTCCCATGCATCGGGCTGCCTGGAGCTCTGACGGGGGCTTTGGCGGTACCTTCTTGGCGCTCTGGCGAAGCCTTTTCAGGAGGTGAGGGAGGGGCGCGAAACCTGAGACATTGTATACTATACCCACACCCCGCTCGCTCGGGCGGATCCGCCCTGAAAAGGGTGGGAGGAGCAAGAACCGCGTGAAAGACTATGGTGTAGGGATGCCCTGCTCTCTCTGGCAGGTTTCCCTAGCGCTCTGGCTGGCTTGCCCAGGAGGGGAGGGAGGAACACGAAACCAGAGGAAAATGATGGTATAGCCACACCCCGTGCTCCCTGACGGGGCTACCTCGGGTGCGGTGGGGGGAGCAAGACAATACTGTAAATGGTATAGCAACACCCCTCTCGCTCTGCCGGGACCGCCCTTGAGGGGTGGGAAGGGGCAAAGCAACTTGTGAAATGATAGGGTCTAGCGATGCCCCGCTCGCTCTGGCGGGGCCTGTCTGGCGCTCTGGCGAGGCCGTCCCAGGAGAGGAGGGAGGATCACGACAGCTGAGGGGTGAGGGGAAGAAAACGAGAGAGGAGGGAATAGAGGCAAGGAGAGGGGGCGAGGCGAGGCGAGGCGAAGCGAGGCGCCTGTCAGTCGTCCCGGCGGGGACGGCCCTACGAGAGCCCGGCGGTGGCGCTGGAGCGCCGAGAAAGAGCCTTAGTCGAGGGGGAAGTAGGGGGAAGGAAGGACTCAGACCGTGAAGTGGGAGTTTCGCACACAATCCCCACAAGGGGGGGGCGGGAGGGAAGGAGGGACGGAGGGGGGAGGCCCGGGCCATCTGGGCCGTCTTTTGTTTTGTTGTTGGAACGATCATCGACCTGCCAACGACACGTCCTGTGCGTTGCTAGGCCACGAGCCTGGGTTCTGAGGTCTGACGAGCTGCGGCCATGTACAGCCGACATGCTCCGAATTCAAGAAAACTGCTCGCAACCTGTCAAGCAGCATAAAGCGAAATCACTTTCTCTTGACGGCTTAAGCCCATGGAAGGACCAGCAAGTATGGTGTTTCCGACGACCTGGCTGCAAGCATTCCAACGACGGGGAGGGGGAGCAGGAGGAGGGGGAGGAGAAGGGGGGGGAAAAGGAGGAGGGGGAGGGGGATGAAGGGAGCCAGATCGCAGGAACCGAACAAACTGCGAATGCATGCTCGGAAGGACCCATGGCCTGACACCGACATCTCGTCTGCGGCTCCAGGCTACAAGCGCGACATCACGCGGTCTGGGGCGCTGTCTTGTGCAGCCCGCTCAGTGCGCAACCTGCCCGGGACACACGCACTTTGGCAAGTCACCGTTGTCACCGCCATCGCCAACGCCACCCACGCCGACGACATCAAGGCACCGTCACAGTCACCAAGTCAGGCATGGTGCAAAGCCGCTTGTGGGCGATAGACGCTTTCTCCTAGGGCCGTAGGCAACACGAGGAGGGGAGGGGGAGGAGGCAGAGGAGGAGGAGGACGAGAGAGGAGGAACCCTCCAGTGGGCGAGCCTGAACCAATGGAAGCCCCAACGAGCAGCGCACCTCCGCTTGTGTACGCGCACATGCGCGGCCGCGAGCAGATGTCCTGTAGGGAGCGGCGCAGCGCGCGAGAGGCGCGCTTGCACCAGCGCCGCCGCCGCGGAGAGTCCGAGCGCGGCGAGAGCCGGGGCGCATGAAGCGCTGCACCGCGCCGAAAAATGGGCTTGGTTAATTAAGGCAGGTCGGACCTGTCGTGGGGCCGCGGGCACGGCCTCTTCAGCATGGCTGCTGGGCGGTAGGCAGCCTAGCGATGCACGAGAGCGCTAGCCTGCGCAGGACGCTGGGGGTGAACATGTCCAACGACCTGCTCTCGGCCTCCCTCTCGATGCACCCCTGGTGGTACGCCCGATCCTTCTCGGCGGCAGGAACAAGGTGCTTGGCCCACCCTGGGACAACGCAAGCGAGGACCGCAACGGTGAAAGCCATCTCGAGCAGCACCGCATGGGGGTGGTGCCACCAGGCCCGTCGAACCATTTCATGGTTGACGAACTCCACCATGACGTCCTCGCCCGCCTCGAACACCCCCTCCCAACTCAGGCCAACGAGCAGGCCAAAGACACTCATCAACGACCGCGTGGAGGCTGCGAGGTATTGGCCCACGTCGTCACGCCCTGTCGCCAGCCCTGTCGCCATCCTGCTGAGCTTTCTCCTCACGGCGCTGGTGGAGCTGAGAGGCTGCTTTGCTTCAGCATCGGAGGCACTCTCGCCTGCGGTGCTCCTACTCGGAGCGGTGGACTGGATCCCCTTGCTCTCGATGAGATCTGCTAGAAAGTCGAACAAGAATGTCAGAACAACAGCCAATGTTGTTGTGAACAAGGCTGCGCCCATGTAGACCGTAACTTTCGAATCTGTTCGCCAGAAGAACCACTGAACTACGAGCGCCAGAATCAATCTGCAAATGAGCAGTCCCGAGGACACGCTCAAGAATCTTGCCACCCGGTGCAAGAGACCACGCTCTGTGCCCCAGCAGGGGCAAGTCGTGAAGACTAGGGCAGCCACTGCTGGCCAGGAATAGTAGATCCAAGCGCTCACAAGTGCATGAGGGACACACGTCTCTGGAAACTTCCCCGGGACAATCTGAAAGGCCGCGGCGTGCTCGCCGCACCCGACGCCGGGCCTGCTGAGGATCAGGTAGCGAACGAAGCCATAAAGGGCACCGCTCAAGACGAAAGCAGTGACCTCGTCCTCGCCCTCCTCGATCGCCTCGGTGCATTGCTCGAGGGCTCGATCTGCATCGCGCTTCCCTTGTGCTTGCGTGATCTGGGGAGCCTCGCCTCCCCAGGGGTTCTCGCCGTCGACCATGCTCTGATAGTGCGGGCGCCTACGCCAAATATGCATCGCCCAGCAAAGCAGCCGGATGAAGATCACCAGACCGAGAATTGAAACGACGAGCACATATTCGTAGGAGAGGTTGTCACCGAGTTTGTAGATCATCACTTCAATGAAGTCACCGCTCAGTGCAAAGCCACAAAAGCCAGCAATATGCGGCACTATGAGCTTCGACACATTGAACCAGGTTCCGAGCTCCGCTTTGCAGGTGCAACGACAGCACCACGAAATGGCGGCCAGAAAGAAACAAAACATTACAAGTTCGATGCCAAGGTGCGCCTCGTGGCTCAGATCCTTGATGCCCAGACCCCTGGGAGGATCACTCGGAATTAGTTGTATGAAGACGAATCCCTCGATCATCTTGAATAAACTCATGGCGCAAAAAATCGACACGCTCACGGAGAGCATGCGGTGTGCGGCCATGCGAATGTCGGGGTCGTACCAGTTCATGATGCTGTGCACGGCCCCCCCCATCACCAGGCAGCCGAAGAACACAAACATGATGGCACAACTGGTGGGGTCGACCGCATCCTCGCCGTGTCCGTGGCTGCTGCCTACGCGACCCTCCGCATTCTCGTCGGCGCGGTCGTCCTGCTGGGGGGCCTCGGCTTCCTGCCCGCGCCCGGGGTGGAGCTGCGCCTCCGGGGCCGCTGCGGCCGCCCCCTCCTGGAGCCTCCGCGCGGCGGCCCGCCCCGCGGGCGGCGCGAGCACCGCGGGCAGCGCGAGCCACGCGAGCAGCGCGAGCCCGGCCAGCAGCGGCGCGCGCGGCATGGCGCGCGGCGTGGCGCGCGGTGGCTCTGGTGGGCGGTGAGCGCGGGAGGGCGCCCACGGTCGGCGGCGAGCCCAGGGGGCGGGGTAAGAGCCTTGAGCCAAAATGGCTAGGGAGGGCCATCTGGGCCGTCTTGGAGCGCCTTGGGGCCTCCCGCTCCCGCTCTGTGACCCAGCTTGGGCCTGTCCTGGGGCTCTCTTGGGCCGTCTGGGGCTCCTCCCGGGCAGTTTTCGGGTTCTCTGAGGCCGTCTTGGGGCTCTGTTGGGAGCATCTTCAGCGGTCTTAGGGCGGTCTTGGGGGCGTCTTCGGCCGTCTTCGAGCATTGGAAGCTCGAGAACGCGAGAAATCGAAAAACATCGAACAAACAAATGCAAATCAATGATTTGGGCCTCTTTGGGCTCTCTCGGGACGTCTCTCGCGGACTGCTATCATAAAAGCCCGGTCCCGCTGCGAGAGATACTCCAACATGAGCTTACAGAAGCACTGTGAAACTCACGGGTGTCGGTTCCAATCTTGTGCCCAACTGCTCCTGGCGCACGCGCAGAGTGCTGGTGCATGTAACGCGCCGAAGTCAAGTTTGAAGTGCCTTCGGGGCGCCGCCTGGGCCCGACTAAATTATAGGTTTTTGCGCGCCCAAGCGTTTTCAGTTGCGCAGCTGGGCGCCCTGGCGCGAACGGCCGAACGACCCCTGCAGCGTGACACTCTGCTCCTCTGGGGCCACGTTGGAATCACCTGGGCCGTCTTGGAGCGCCTTGGGGCCTCCCGCTCCCGCTCTGTGGCCCAGCTTGGGCCTGTCCTGGGGCTCTCTTGGGCAGCCTTGGGCTGCTCTTGGGCTGTCTTCAGGCTCTCCGGGGACATCTTGGGGCTCTTTTGGGGGCCTCTTCGGCGGTCTTGGGGCGATCTTCGGGGCGTCTTCGGCCGTCTCGGAGCGTCGGAGGGTCGAAAACGCGAGACACCGAAAAATATAGAATAAACCAATGGAAATCAACTATTCGGGCCTCTTCGGGCTCTTTCGAGACGCCCCTCGGAGGTCTCCTGGGGCCTCTTGGAAACCTCTTGGGCTGTGTATTGGCCCCGGTCCCGCCATGCCCCCCCGAGGTCGCGGTCCTGGGCGCCCGGGCCTCGTGCGCGGATATATATATATATATATAGATATATATATATATATATATATGTATATACACATATGTAAACACACATATATATATATATATATATATGTACATGCATATACATATACATATACATATACATATACATATACACATACACATACACATACACATACACATACACATACATATACATATACATATACATATACATATACATATACATACACATATACATATGCATATACATAAATATACATACACGGTGTGTTGGGCCGCCATGTGCCACTAACCGATGCACAAAGACAACATGCGTAGGGGGACCTATGCGGTACAAAATCAGCCGATCCTGTCGGCGTGCGGAAGACGCTCTTCCGCTCGTCGTCGTCATCGTCGTCGCCGTCCCCGCGCCCCCCCCTTCCTTGGGCCCTCCCAGTCACAGCGAAATTGGGCAACATCGTAAGTGTGTCGAAGGGAAGCCCCTTCCCTTTGATCCTTTCCCACGGGGGGGGGGAGGGCCGAAGGGGACTCCAGGGGGGCCCTGGGTCAGACGTCCCTCCCGGGAGGTTCCCGGCCCCGCAGAACCCAAGACGGGCAAGGGCGCGGTCCAGAACTGTCCCCAGAGGGCCCCAGATCGCCGGAGCATGCGTGCCAGACGCCAAAGACGGCCGCCAGACGGTCGCTACAAGACGCCTCGCGCTGGCTTTCGCACCCCCACGGGGAGACGCCAGGGGGTATATCACTCCTCCGTCCGCCCCTATATTGCGAGGGTAGCTCGAGCGGTTTGCTTGTTTGCGTGCTCGATATCTTCCGCTGTCGGAGCAGAGGTTGAGTGGTTTTCGCACCCCATGAAGCCCAGAGTGCGAGTGTGTTTCGGGCGGTTTTCCCGTTTTGGTGGCCAGAGTCGTCTGCGTTCAGAGCAGATTCTGAGGATGTTCCGGGTGAGGAGCTGGCTTCAGCACCCCAAAGGGGCCCACATTGCAAGGATGTCCATGACTCACGTATGCTCAAACTCACTCGTGCTCAGACTCAATCGTACCCAGACGCGTACTCATCATGCCCATACTCAGACGCAATCGCATTCAATCTTACGCGCGCCCAAACTCACTCGCACTTGGAGCCACCTACCCCCAGACTCATCTGTGGTCAGACTCACTCGTACTCGGACCCACTCGAAATCAGACTCGTATTGACCGTACTCATACTCAGACTCATCAACATTCAGACTTGCTCACACTCCGCTTGCACTCAGACCCACCCGCCATCATATTCACTCGCAGTCCGACTCACGCGTACTCAGACCCACTTGAATGCAGACTCGTAGTTGATATGCTCATACTCAGAGCCACTCACACCCAGACTTCCCCACGCTCTGACTCACTCTAATTCTGTCTCACTCGTGATCAAAATTGCGCCTACTCAAACCCAATCGTACTCAGACCCTCGCATACCTAGACTAACTGACACTCACACTCAACCGCGCCCGGGTTCACTCACAGTCAGACCGACTCTCACTCAGATCACTCCTGCTCAGATTCACTCAGTCATCTAGCCGTTGGTGGTTCAATGTCCCTTCGCTTTTCCACTGGCGCTTCCCTCATCTCCCCTGGAAGATGCCCAGAGAAGGAAGACTTCACTGAAGTCGTCGCTGTCGCCATCGTCATTGTCGCGCCCGTCGCCCACGCTGACTCGCTCTCACACCCAGGTGCGCACAGACAGAATTCGATTGCGAGACGAGAGAGGCGATGAGATGCACACGTTGTGATTTCCACGCTATGAATAATTCTCAAATCGCGCTCTCGCGTCGGACTTCCTTGCTATTTTCTCAGACACCGCGCCCTCGACACTCAGGCATCGCGCTCTCGCTGTGCAATTCCTCGCGATGTATTTGAAAATCGCGCTATCGCTCGAGACTTCTCCATTCATGCCAGACGCGCTCTTCAGCAACCCGCCTGCCCCTTGCCCCATTCCTTCTATCCGCCATCTCTCCCCCTGCCTTGGGGGTCGCGCGAAACGCACGATGCAGGTGAGCAAGATGTACCCCTGAGGATTTCCGATCGGAAACGAAGAGAGCGGGCATCGAGGGGTCGGGATATACGCGTTGAGTGGCGCGCGAGCAGATAAGAGCGAACAGTCTTAAAATGATTGTTGTTGTCGTTGCTGTTGTTGCTGTTGCTAGTGTTGCTAAGGTTCGGCGGCCACGCGACACTGGAGCGTGCGAAATGCGAAAACCGTGCTGACATCGCGCTGGCGAACATTTCGGCGAACGGCTGAGTGTGCGTGACGCGTTTCAGAATAAAGATGGACGCGCGTTTTCGAACTGCCGCGCGTTGCTTACAATAGCAACTTCACGAAGTCACTCGCGGGGCGCCCTGGCGCGAAGCAGCCGGGCCCGCTCGCGAGAACCAACGGGGGATTTGATTCTCCCAGGGCGAGGGCAGCGCGGGAGCGATGCCCCTTCGTAGACCTGAAGTCCCATGTCCTGCTCCACGCCCGGAAAAGCTGGCACCTTCGACGTTCGGCACGGCGGCGCGGTCTCGGCGCGGATCGGCGCAAGCCGCAAGCGCGCGGCGGCGGGGCCGGTTGCCCAGGCGCGCGCTGTCCGATCTGCAAATCCGCACAAGGCAATGCTTAGGTCGGGCCTGTCCCCCTACAGGGGGATCTTGGACGAAAAATGAAAAACGATAAAATAAAGTGCGCCACAAATGCTCAAACAAAGCCAAGAAATCGTCCCCTGACGATTTTTTAACTACTTGGGAATTTTCCTCCTGCAGAGGGACACGCCCGACCTGAGGCGGCGCAGCCGTGCCACGCGCGCCAGGGCCCGCACGCATCCCAGCGGCCTCCCGGCGCGGGGCACGCACGAGCCTCGTGCGTGCGCCGCGCACGCGAGCCCGCCCCGAGCCTCCGCCGCCGCCGCCGCCGCCGAGCCTCGTGCGCGCGCACGAGCGGCTGGCGCCCCGCACGCGCACGTGCGGCTGCAGCCGGCGGCCGGCCCGAGCGCGGGCGAGCGGCGAGCGGCGAGCGCGCGCCCGGCGCCTCGACGCCTTCCGCGGCTCCGAGCGCGAGGACCGCAGCCGCCCGCCGCCCGCCTTCCCTTCCTCTTGCCCGCCCCGGCCCCGAGCCGCGATGCGTCCTGGTGGGGCCTGCGGGTGGCCTCTGGGGCGGGCGAGGGGGCCCCTGGGGCCCGCCTCGCTCGGAGGCGTGCAGCTGGCGCTGCGCGCGGCGTGCCTCCCTGCAGCGCCGTATCCCCCCGTGCCCCTCCCCGCCTGCTGGCCATGCTGCTCTCGTGTCTTGCTCCTTGTGCTTCCCTATCTCTCCTCATGCTCTTTGATCTGCACTCCACTCTTCCTCCTCCTCCTCCTCCTCCTCCTCCTCCTCCTCCTCCTCCTCCCTCCTCCTCCTCCTCCTCCCTCCTCCTCCCCTAATCCCCCTCATCCCTCCTCATCCTTCCTCCTCCTGCTCCTCCTCCTCCTCCTCGTCCTCCTCCTCCACCACCTCCTCCTCCTCCTCCCCATGATTCCTGATTCCTGAAGGCGTGGAATCGGCGACTGCCGCCCCCATCCTCCCCGTCCTCCTCCTCATCTCTTCTCATCCCTCCACCCTTTCCTCGACCACCTCATCCTCCCCCTCCTCGTCCCTACCCTCCTCCCTCGGCCCCGCCCGCCGCTTCGCCCGCCTCCCCCCCGCCCTCTTCGCGCGCGCGGGCGGCCTACGTATAGCAGGAAGGCCCCGAAGCCGGGCGTGCCGGACGATACCAGGGCGCAGAAGAAGATCCACATCTGGCGGGGCGCCGGGTGTCGTCGCCGCAGCCCTCGCCGCCGCCGCCGCTCTCGCCGTTGCCGTCGTCTTCGCCGTCGCCGTCGTCATCGCTGAGACCGGTGTCGGCGTCGCCGTCGTCGTCGGCGTCGGCGTCGCCGTCGGCGTCGGCGTGAGCGTCGTCGTCGGCGTGAGCGTCGTCGTCGGCGTCGTCGTCGTCGGCGTCGTTGTCGTCGTCGTCGGGGCGCGCCGTCGCGACGTGCAGCGTGGCCGAGAAGGCGTTGAGCGCGGGGTCCTCGAACGGGGGCGACACGCCTGGCGCGTCGATCCGCGGCCGGCGCCCTTCCCGAGACAAAGCCAGGGCGAGGATCCATTCGGGCGAGGATAGGTCGAGAATCTGTGCCCTCGGCGACGATCATTCGGCCAGGGCGAGGATCAATTCGGCCAGGACGAAGATCAATTCGGCCAGGACTAGGATCAATTCGGCCCTATGCGGCGAGGATCACTTCGGGCGAGGATAGGTCGAGAATCTCTGAGATGCGGCGGTTCTGAGAGCGTTCTGTAGTGTTCTTGAACGGATTTTATCCTCGTGCTAATCTTGAGTCGGGCGTGTCCCCCCACAGGCGGGTTCTGGACGATTAATAAAAATTTGCCCCCAAAAAAAACATACCCCACAAATTGTCAAACATAGTGAAAAAATCGATCCCAGACTATCTTTCGACTATTTTTGAATACTCCTCCTGTAGAGGGACAGGCCCGACTTACTGCTAATCTCGTCCGACCCTCCCTCGGCCCGGTCCGCCGCCGCCGTGGTCGACGACGGCGTCCCCGTCGCCGCCGTCGCCGTGGCCGTCGCTGGCGTCGTCGTGGCCGCCGCCGACGGCGAGCCTGGAAGGGGAGGCGGAGGGGCCGGTCGTCCTCAGAAAGCTCAGAAGGCCTCCGGCCTTCTGACAAGCGTTGTCAGAGGGGCCCTGGGACACACAAGTAAAAAAAACAACCCACAAGATTCCCCATGTTCTCCCATCTTTTGCGGATTGCCGTCTTCCCCCCCCCGCTTCCAACCCGACCCTCCTCTTCAGAACATCGTTAGGGGCAGGGGTAGGGTTCGCATGTGGCCCCCTAAACGCAGCCAGCGACTTCGTCGCGGCGTTGGTCGTCGCCTTCGTCGTCGCCCGTCCTCTTCTTGCTGCTCCAGCGGGGGGGGGTGGTGGTGGCACGGTGGCATGAGACATGGTGTCTGTTCTCTGGATAGGGCATGCTGCTAGATGCTACATGCGCAAAGAAAGTCGGCCCGCCTGCCGGGGGGGGCCGAAGGGGCAGGGCTGAGTGCGCCCCGCCCTGACGAAAGCTGCCTGTGTTCGGCAGCGGCAGCTCGCTTGGCCTCCCTCCGGAACCAGGCCACCCTCCGGGCTATACGGGCGGGGGGCACGGCTGAGAGGCAAGGGAAAAGGGGGGAGCGCCTGCGGAGTCCCTCGCAAGTCTGCAACTTCACTCTCAGAGCTCAGGTCCCTGGGAAAAAAGGGAGGAGAGGCCTCAGAAGCAGGAGTGGGAGCCGGGTCGGGAGCTGGCGTCGGATCCTCCTCTCGCTGCTCATGTCTGGACCGGAACCTGAGCATTTCTGGATCAATCCGTTCTCTGAGGTTCCTGAGGCATGACTGTGACGTCCTCTCCTATCTCCTTGCAAAATAATTCCAAGAGGTCCTCGACCTGGGATGCGTCGGTGTCCTCCGCATTCACGCCACAATCTGTTGGTGAGGCAGACTGGGACTGGATCGTGTCAACGATGGCTGCGATAGTATGCCTGCACATGGTTGTGGCGGCTCTCTGCCGTCTATTGCAGCAGCGGCCATGAGCACCTGAAAAGGGCATGTAGGGCGGTGATGTGGGCATGCGGAACCTGCGGAGCCTATTGGGGGCCTTACCGATGGTCTCTGGGCCGCAGTCGTTATGTGCGCGTTGGTCAAAATTGGCTGTGTATCTGGAAATGTCGACACCGCGCATTATCAGTTCATATTGTGTAAGCGTGTGTTGTCCGTCCATCCATGCCTGGATATCCCTATGTCGCCGTTGTCCAGATAGAGCTCCCTGTGTCGGTTCATAGAAGGCTCCAATCGTGAGTGGTACCTCTCTGGCCTCTTTATTCGCACGTTGCGAGGCGACTAGTATGTCGGCGGAGTATGAGCCGTCAGGCGGCATGTCCACTTTTGCCGGGTAGGCGCTCCTCCAGCGCCATAGCCTTGCATTGACTTTCTGCTGCTTGGGCTCCTCAGCTCTGCCGGCGCTGTTCACCGCGCCTTGCAAAAAAAGGCGAGACAACACGCAAGACGATTGCGCAGTGCCCGCCTGGTGAAGAAGGATGCGGAGCATAACCTGCAAAGGCATCCCTCTCCCCTGGTTCTTGACACAATGTCCACAGAGCTGCAATGTGTGCTTATGTTGTGCCTCTGTAGTCCCTTGACAGTAGTCGTAGCTGGAGTAGGGAGAAGGGGGCGAGTCGGATCTGCAATTGGTACAGGTACCCCTGCTGCCCGTAACGTCTCGAAAAAATAGCCTGAGGCTTTCCGCACTCGGGCAGCGCTTGCCTGGGCCGTTGCCTCTGATCTCATGGCAGCGATCTTCATGTGCCTCCGTTCTGAGATATAGCGCGAAATGCGCTGTTCCCTCCTGGTGCCGTCGTCCTTTGAACTAGGTGTGTTATTCGTCCTGTCGTGTACTGTGCCTATCCCGTCCATGTCTTCTAATGTACGATGCAACCAGGATGTCCCGTTGCGCTCGTGCTTCATACTGAACACATGTGCCACACGACCGTGTAGAGTGTGAGTACGTAATTGCATGATACCTCCAAGTAGTCGGAACCTGCAAATCCTCAGAGCCATGGTAGGCGTGGCACTCTGTGCGCGCGCAAGCACGTTCATGTCGCTTCCCGTATATTCCGAACTGTGCCGACTGCGCAAAGCCTGTCGGTAGTCGTTGCTCTTCGCATGCTGAGGGTGCGCGTGCTGTGCTGCTGATACAGTGGCCGCGCCCCTGCTTTGAGGGTGTAGTCGCATCTGGTATGTGGCCACCTCGGCGCAGCTGCACAACGAGCCTGCCATGCAAAAAAGAGCGCGTGCAAGCTTGCCTGGTCGACTCCGTGCGGCAGCTTCCGTCGGAGCCTGAGAAAGAGGGCCCCCCCCTCTTGCAACTTCAGTGTGCCTAAGCTTATACCGTACTGTCGTGGTTTTTTGCCGCTTGGCGTAATGTGTATCTGATGTGCCTCTCCCATCACCATTCTGAGGTGGTCGTCGCATTCCTTAGAATGGTTGGCTGCATGCATGCCAGGCTCGGGTTGTCGGAACTGCGAGAGCAGGTGGCTGAATAGCTGTAGTGTCACATTGTCGTCATACTGCGCTGGGCTGCACGGAGAGCTTGGCGTTGCAATACGGCAAGAGGGTGCGCATTCCCTTTGTGCATTGACCCCGCGCGAGCTTCCCTCTCCACCCATCTGTAGAGCCGCGGCGTGTAGCACAATGTGACTTCCCATGTGCGTGCCCCCAGTTTTATGCCTGCTAGCCCCGACCGTGCACACAAGCAGGCAAGGGTGTTTCCTATCGGCGCGTGGGGCTCTTTGGCGATGTGCATGGCATGGTCGGCCGTCGGAAGCAGCGAGCTGCAAGCTGCGAATGAGACGTAACTCGGCCGAAGCCTCTGCATGACCCTCCAATGGTGTCCTTTTGTTTTTTACCGGCGTGCGCCACTGCGACTCAAAAGAGGTGAGAACATTGTTATGGCAAACGACCTGGCAAACGTGTCAACAGTTTCGCTCCAAGAATCCGCAGCATGACCTTGAGCATGCTGTAAGGAGTAAGGAACGCGTTTTAGCATGTGCACGTAAACATTGAGTTAAACTGTCGAGTAGAAGCTTGGTAGCACTGAGCGCTCCTCTGACGTGTCCTCCCTGATATGCTCTGCGAACGGCCATGTTATCACTGCGAACGCAGGTAGGCAGAGAGCTGGACTGTGTCTGGGTGCCCGATGCCATGTTCCCAATGGCTGCTTCCAACTCTGTCCTCTGAGAAGTGAGTGAGTCGTTTGCTTCCCATTCGGGGAGTGGATCTGCAAAGCAGCCGAGCAAAATGACACCGAATACCGAAATAGCCATGGTGCGCAGCGCCCAAACTGGCCCGCGCACTTGTCCGTTGTGTCGGTACCCAGCCGCAGTCGGACCTGTGCGGGTTCCCCGTCGGGCATACCTCAAGTTGGGATCGTGCCTGATGAGACCTGGAAGGGCCTGGGTAGATGAGGGGCGCCAGTAGGGGGCCCACGAAGGAGAGCCCCTAGCAATATGAACAGGCGACCTGCGTTCCATGGGCCCTTGAGTAGGTCGGTTATCGGGGATGGGCGACCTCGGGAATCCTCTGGTGTTCCCCTTAGGCGCCTGCGTAGTATCATTAATGTGGTATTCAAAGAGTCCATGCCCAAGTGATGAGCGGTCCGCTGTTGTGTTATCTGGAGTCGGATTTTGTACACTGGCTGCCTGCTGAGAGGGGGCTAAACGGGGGACCTGGGCGAGCCTGCCAGAATATTCAGCCGAGCGCAAAACGCGCTCAGCTGGTGTTAGGGCTGTGCGGGCAGATTGGCTGCCACGCGAAAAACTGTCTGCTGGCGTGCTGGGTTGCTGGCTCCGCTCAACGCTGCTATGCCTGACTCGTCTTCTCCCGTCTCCATCTCATGCGGTTCATCCCGTCGCATATGCTTGGAGTCCCTGGCCGTCTCTTCATTGATCTTGACTTGCTTGGGTGGTGCTTGGCCCGTGGAGCGCCTGGGCGAGGTAGCTCTGGGTCTTTCTGCTTCGGCTGCTTGGGCGAACGCACTCTCCAGCCGTCTCCGTCCTTCTGCGCCCACGTCGGGAGTAGTTGACTTGAGCTTGTCCTTATCCTTTCTTGGCGTCGGCGTAGGAGATGTCGATGATGCCTGTGCCTGTCGCTGAAGTTCTTCTCTGGTATTATTTCTGTTGACGCTGACGTCTGTGAGCTGCTTCTGCATGGTGCTCATGGCCGTCTTGAACTCTATGAGTTGCGCCATGAAGGCACACTGCGAATGTTGCATACTCGCAAATAACCCTGGGGTGGAGAATTCCGCTTTCGAATCCGCTGGGCCCGAGCACGGTGTAGCTCCAGGCGGAATTCGCGTGGCAGGCGTACTTGGCGATCGCGCGCCCGCTTGTGTGCTCGGAAAGCGCGCGGTAGCCGGCAACTGCGTACGCGACCGAGGAACTTCTCCTACTGGCGCAAGAGGGCCTCCGTCGGAATCCTCATCTTAATCTGTATCTTCATCCATGTAGTCTGCTGCACTTGGCCTACGAGTGCGTGACATACGAGTGCGCACCTCTGCCTGCTTGCGCTCGTTGTCCTTCTTCTCCTCGTCTTCCAGGTCCTTGAAATGTTCGAGAAGGTCTTCAGCGTGTGCCACTTCTTCGCGTAGTTCATGAACTTGAGCAACACAGGAGTCGAGATTAAACTGCGCCTCTATTTGCTTCTGTGTGGCATCCGTCAGCCTGCGCTTTGCTCGATTGACAGAGTTGAGCTGCTTGGCTGCGCGGGCAAAGGCCGTGCGAGAGTACAAGAGCTGATATAATACAACAGCGTATTCATGTCGTAAGCCTTGCACTTGTGATGCGTCCATCTTGAGCTCCTGTGAACATGTGATCTGACGTTCTAGGCCCTGTCATGTAGAGCGTAGGGCCTTTCTGTACTCACCAATCTCCTGAGGGTTCTCAGGTGGCTCCTGCCAGCGCCTGTGTGCGCGGGCATCCTCTGGCGAGCAAGGCATGAGATTCATGTTCTCGTCCTCCTCCACGCTGTTGCTGTACGCTGGGCGTCGCGAGCTGGAGCGCCTCCTCGGGGGGGAGGATGTAGGTGGAAAACATATGGCTTGGCTGCTGGCTGGTTCGGATGGCACTTCTCACGTTTCGTGATCTCCCACTTGTTGTGATGATTGCATGCCGGGCACTCCCACAAGTGCCGGCACTGTCCTTGTATGTGACCTTGCCATTGCGATCTTCGTCTTGATGGCTGTCTCGAGCGCGCTGACTTGCTGCGCTGTGTCCTCCACGTCATACTGCAATGCTGTGGCGATTCAGCCCTGGCTCGACGGTGCCAGACTGGTACACCACCTGCTTCACGGCTGGCCCTCTTGCTGCGCGCCGTGGCGGCTGGGGGGGGGGCGGGCGCGTGTCGCAGCTGTCCCGTGCGAGCGGTTTCGCCGTGCCTGGCACAGCTCCCACAAACCACTCGGGCCGGGACGGCGGCTCGGGGGGGGGGAGGAGGAGGGAAAAGGAGGAAGGGGAAGGGAAGAACGGACCGAAACTTTGGTTATCTCGGAGTCCTTTTTGGGTTCCCTGGGACACCCCTTCTGAATTTCTGGGATCGAGGGGGGAGACGGAGTGGAGAGGAAGGGGGAGGATCGAGGACTCGAAGACAACTATTCTGTACCTGTTTGGACACCCCAGCTGGGATGGAGCGGGGAGAGGGCAAGGAAGGCAGCAGACGGGAGAGAGGCGGTGCGGGAGGAGATGCAGAGGAATGGGGGAGGAAGATTGCCCAGGCGACGAGGGCGACGAGGGACACGAGCAGGACGAGCTGAAACATCACGGGGATCATCAGGGGAGGACGCGGGAGGAAGCCGGGGGCGGCAATTTGTACCAAGACGCCTCGGGGGTCATATCGGGCTCTCCTCTAGAGCTCAAGGGGAACCAACGCCAAGATGGCTGCACAGAGGAATCACGCGCTACCTGATCAAACCCGAAATGAAGGACGAGTGAAGAGAAGAGGCAAACACAGCGGCACAAACATAAGCTAGAGAAGGGGCTTGGCAGCGGGAGCGAGGCAAGGTTGTATATGGATCTGTGCTACGGTCGCTCCTCGCGCCATTCTGGCAGTGAATGTTTCGCGCACGCCAAGAATGCTTTAACACCAACGTTGACATGCGCGCGTGTGGTCCGTTGTTGTGTGCCCGTCTGCATATGGGGGGGGGCCGGGGAAGTAATGAAATAAGGCGAGGTGCCATGACATCTGAGGAGATACCATGACCCACGTCGTGATGTCCACCCCCCCCTCGTCATCACCCCCCTCCTTGCCGCCCCCGACCGTCTCCAGGCTCCCGACGCGACCTCTCAGCAGCTGCGCCGGGGCTGCTCCGAGGCAGCCTCAGTCGGGCCGGGCGACAGGGGGGGGGGATAGCAAAGGGGGGGGGTGAGAATCAGCTCACGTGGCTGATTTCCCCAGCGCCTCCCGGCGCCCGGAGGCGCCCTGGCCCATGCATCGAGGAATGGGCCCGGCGGCGGAGCCGACACCAGCTGCATGCAGCAGACTTCGTAACCCCCCCTTTCCCCATCCCCCCCCCCTTTCGTCCAGCCCGACTCGGGGAAGCGAGCCGCGGCCGGGTGCCGAGGGGTGCCGCCCAGCGGGCGCTCCAGCGCGCGGGCGGGCGGCCGGAGAGCTCCGCGTCGAGAGGGGCCCGCTGCAGGCCCTCCCGCACAGACCTTCCGTGCGGCGCCGCCTGCGGCCCCGCCGGCGGGCACTGCGCCCGCGCGGTGCAGCGCAGCCTGCGTCGCAGCCAGCGCGCACGCCCGGGGCCGTTCGGCGAGGCATGCCTGGAAGCCACGCGTGGGCCGATGCTGCCCAGGACTGGCAGAGCCACTCTTCTTATACACAGTCCTCCGCTTCCTTTCCCAGCCCCCCCCCCCCCCCTTCTCGGCCTGCCTGCCCCGTCCCCCTCCTGCCTCCTCCGCCTCCTCCTCCTGCTCCCCTCCTCCCTCTCGCTGCTCACCCCTCCTCACCCCCCTCCGCCTCCTCTTCCGAACTCCTCCTCCTCCTCCTCCTCGAACTCCTCTTCGTCCTACTCCTCCTCCTCCTCCTCGAACTCCTCTTTGCCCACCAATGTGTAAACGACTTCCCTTCTGACTCTACAGGGAAAACAAGAAGTCGGATTGGAAACGCATCGACCCGCGCCAACTGTAGATCGATGCATCTTCGCGGTCCGGATCTATCGCAATCTGCAGACCGACGCGTGTTCGGCGCGATCGCAGTACCGAAGCGCGACAACTCATCCTTAACTCCTCCTTCACGGAAGCGTCCAAGAGGAGGGGTCGCAAATTGTGGACCGAGGCATGTGAGCGGACGAAGGGGGGGCCAGGACACATGTCGAGAGAAGATGAGGGGGCATGAAATCTGGGGAGATACCATGGCCCCAGCCATGATATCCAAACACACACACACACACACACATACACAAACACAAACACACACACACACACACACACACACACTCTAGTCGTCAACCCCCTCTTGGACGCCCCGACCTTCCCCCTCTTGGACACCGCTCTTGGACGGCCCCCTTGGGCCGCCCCTCCTGGACGCCCCTAGTCATCCCCCCCTCCTCCCGACCCCCCCTCCTCCTCCCTCCTCCCCTGGACCCCCTCTCCTCCTGCCTCCTCCTGACCCCCCTCCTCCTGACCCTCCTCCTGCCCCCTCCTGACCCCCCTCCTCCTGACCCCCCTCCTCCTGCCTCCTCCCGACCCCTTCCCTGGACCCCCCCCCCCTCCCGACCCTCCTCCTGCCGGGGGGCCCATCCCCCGTGCACGCAGACAGGGGCCCGCGCGCCGTGGACCAGGAGGTGCGCGACCACCAGCAGGAGCGAGAGGCCTCCTGGGGCGGGCAGCAGGGGAAAACACGGGGGCAAGCGGGCAAGCAAGCAGGCAAGAGGCTATGTGCACCAAACAGCACACTAGTATGGGGAAAAGTTGGCCGCCGCTGTGGCAGTACTCCTTCACAACGGCTTCCCACTCACTCTGCGGCCTGTGGCTCAACAATAAATTCAACCTCTCTGCGCAACCAGCAGCTGCCAGTCGGGCAAGATTTGCATCCAAGTCAGCTGCGCCTCGAACAAGCGGGAACCCTTCTCCCGCAACCCGGGGCGAAGCGGATATGGATAAGAGTTTAGCCTCCAGGGGTCGGACGTTTAGGGGTCACATGTTTCTCCACATCCACTGCGCCTCAGCCTTTTGGCGCCCCCTTCTGGAACGTCCAGGACGCAGTGGATATGGATACAAACCTGGCCCGCAAGGGGCGCGCGCAACGATAAAATAGGCAGGTGACGTTCTGAGCACCCGCAAGGGAGGGAGGGAGTGAGGCAGGGACGAGGACCCTGACATCCCCGGGTCGCATGAAAATCACGACGGGAGCTTTTCGGCCGTTTTCGGCTCCGGGGGGGTCTCACTGGGCCCAGGCACCGTAGCTCTTTTGGTACGGCAACAACAACATACAAACAAGAAAGTACATCAAAATCCTTGGGGAACCAAGATGCGCAACACATACCACAAGGATGAAGAAGGGAGAGGTGATTTTAGGGAGGACATCGAGCTGGAATCGGCGATGCATCGCCGATGGATCGGCGATGGACCCCCAACAGATCGGCGATGCATCGCGATAGACAGGCAACATGGGCTATTGGGCCCGATTCGGCGATGAGTGGGGGATGTGGGGGCCGATGTATTCCGTCTTGAATTATTTCCCTCGAGCGCTGCCCCGGTAACGGGGGCGAATGAGGCGGGAGAGCGGAGAGGAGGCCTTTGACGCCGATGCCGTCGTTGTCGCCAGCGCCGCCGTCGCCGTCACCTTCGTCAGCGCCATCGTGGGTGCCGCCGCCGTCTTCGCAATCGTGGCAGTCGCTGTCGATCTCGCGCTACCCGGCCGCCGCCGCGCCGTTGCACGTGCGGGAGGTTCGCCGCGAGTTCTCCGCACCCGCCCTTCACCATACGCATACCGAAATACCCGAGTTCAGTGTTCATTTTCGGGCCAAGGCCCCCTCGATATTCCTATTTGGCGCCCGGCTTCCGAATTGGGCGCCCCCAGTGTTCGAGGTCGATTTAAAGAAGCCAAGACTAGCAAAACATTGGGTGAAACAAATCGGGGATGACAGGGAATCTGTCGGTTCTTGTGATGGCGTACCTTGTGGGTAACGCCTTCGACGAGGTGGCGTAGTAGTCTCTGGGCTGCAAGCAATATGGTTGTATCCTGAATGGTCCGGTGCAAAGTTGGCCAGTCTCACAATTATCATCATGAGGTGCCACTTGGAGAGCAAGTGGTAGTTGCCGTAGGGCAGCAAAAAGCCATCTGATACGACGGTGCGCAATGCCGATGCACCTTTTACGAGTCGTAGGAAATGCGGCCCAAATCGCACACGGCCACTATGATATGGATCTGCAGCTCAGCTCGTCGCCTTAGCCGCTCTGCAGGAGGCTCAGGTAGGTCTCCCTGTAGTCCGCGTGGCTGTGGGCGTGGTCCTCATAGCTCAGCAGGTGGTTATCGTAGCTCTCGTAGCTGTACCTGCGGCCATCGCAACCCTGGTGACCTGGTTGGCGGGCGCCGTGGTATCTCTGTTGGTAGTCCTCGTGGCACAGCTAGCGCCTCGGGTAGCTCTTCTGATGGCCCTCGTAGCTCAGCTGATGGCCCTCGTAGCGCAGCATATGGTCCTTGTCGCTCAGCTCGCGGCTGTCACGGCTCTGCGAATGACCCTCGTAACACGGCACGTGGGTATTGAAGCTCTCCTGGTGGCTCCCGTAGCTGCGCTCCTGGCCCTCGAGGGTCAGCTCGTGGTCCTCGTAGCGCAACATGTAGCTCTCATGGTTCTGGCGGTGGCTCTAGCAGCTCGGCAAGCAGGTCTTGAAGCTTTTCTGGTGGCTTTCGTAGCTGTGCGCGTGGTCCTCGTAGTTCTGCTTGCGGTTCCCCGAGGTCATCTGGCCCTGGCAGCTGCGCTGAAGGTCGTCGCAGGTCGGTTTGGGGCGCTAGCGGGGGCGCAGCTCTTCGTAGACCCCGTGGTCATAATCGCACTCGTCGGCCGCCGAATCAGTGTTCCAAATGTTGGGTGTCCCTGCTGTCCTGGCGGTCGTCATAGCCCTGCGCCCCGTCGTAGTCTTGGGGGCCGTGGGAATACGTACAGGTCGCCATCGAAAAATATCGCAATCGAATTCGTCGTGGGCGGCGCGGGCGCAATCGCACTCGTCGTCGACGGCGCGGCCGTTACCCGCCGGTACTTCCACGACGACGTATTCAATGACCTCTACGGGCTGCTCGATGGCGTCGCCCCTCGCGGCGGTCCTGGTGCCGCAATGGTGGCGACGCTCGTGGTTGGCTGCCTCTTGCGCAGCTCTTTCTCGCGCTCGGGCTGCTTGTCGCGCGGCTCGTTGTCGCACTTGGGCCGCGCGTTGCGCGGCTCGCCCTCGGGCGCGCGAGCGAAGGCGGTCGTGGCCATGGAAGCGGGATCGTCGGGTCGAAGCAGCATCCCACGCCAGACGTTATGCCCCGTTCGTTTTCGGGTCGCGTCTGTTGGCGCCCGTGCCTATGCGCGCGCGGCTTCGCCATCCTTTCTGGCGCGATTCCACGGGCGCGACCACGTCTGGTAGCACTGGGGTTCAACAACTGGTGGCTGATGTTGTAGTCGCGGCAAGCCTTGACGGTTAATTGTGTCGAGGTCTTTCTCGTCGATATGGGTGGTGCGCGAGTGGGCACTGATCTTGGCGACGATCTTGGCGGGCGCATCGCGCCCGGGCCGACCCGCCCCCCCCTTTTCCCGCGGGCGGTGGACAGAACCCCCTCGCAGGGGCCAGAATGGCACTCGTCCTCTTTGCCCATCTCCTCACCCTCATCCTTCTCATCCGTTTTCCACTCCCCCCCTTCTTATTCTTCGGGAACTCGCCGCGAACTCCTCGGGGCAGGCGCGGCGAACGACCAGAACGAAACTCGATTCGAAAGAATCGCGAACTGAACGTGGCTCGTCTGGCGGCAGTCTGCCCGCTGCCAGAGCCTTGATCCCCATGGCCCCCCACTCGCCGCGAGCGCTGGGCAAAGAAGGCCCGGTCAGCTCTTGGGCCTTGATGGGGCCCCTCCCCTGTTTGGAACGGGCCCCGCAGCTCCCGCGGACCTCGCGCCAGAACGCGCCCCTCGCATGCCGACTTCTGCGGGGCGGGCACAAAGACCCGGGCATGCCGACGCAGACCCCCCCCGGCCACTCAGCCACCTCACGCCCACCCCTGGCGATCACAGATCGCACAGATCGCGGCGGACCGACATCGTGCACCCGACCTCGGGCGTAACGCCCCAACGATGGGTGCGGCGACCGGGCCAGGGCTGCCGCCCCGCTAACACTCCGCGTGGGGGGCGCAGGCGGCGACGCGCGCTGCCCCCGACCAGGCCAGCCTGGGCGTTGAACCCCAAGGGCGGGCGGGCGAGGCAGAAAAAGGTCCGCCACCGACCGAGGCAGCCCCGCATCCAGGAGCGGGCGGGCGGGGCAGAACGGCCGACGGGCCCGCGCCGCAGGCGAGCGCCCCTTGAGCGCGGCGCGCAGCAATAATACGAAACTTGCGAAGCAGACGGCGCCAGGGCGCGCCGCGACCCGCCCCGGCGCGACCCCCGCGGCGCGCCTGCGCGAGCGCCCGCGGCAGGCCCGCGCGCGACAACACAGGAGCACCAACCGCCAAGCGCGGGCGGCGCAACCTGCGGTCGGGCCGCATGCGTCGCGCGTCGCGCGCGCCGCGGCGCCGCGGGGCCCGTCGGCCGACCTGCGATTTGTGCCCGCGCAGCACCCTGCAGGTGCGCGCCCCCCACAAATCTCGGCGGACCGACCTCGTGCACCCGACCTCGGGCGCAACGCCCCAACGATGGGCGCGGCGACCGAGCCAGGGCCGCCGCCCCGCTAACACCCCGCGTGGGGGGCGCAGGCGGTGACGCGCGCTGCCCCCGACCAGGCCAGCCTGGGCGTTGAACCCAACGCCGCCAGCGCCCGGGCCCGCCATGGTCGGGGCGCGCCAGGCCTGCCGCGACCCAATGGAACCGCGGGTGCAGGACGCAGTGCGCGCCGAGCGTGCGCCTGTTCGACCTGCCCCGCAGGCGCCGTTGCAGACGCTGGTCTGCGCCCTGCGCTGGGGTTAGGGCATGAAGCGGCGGCCGCCGCTTCGGCGGTCGCGTCGCCCTCGCGCTGGTACATATCATGATATTATTTGAGAGCGCGGGAACTCCAATCGGCACCGCGGAGAATTTCACAGAGGCGGCCGTTGCACCTACGCTTCGTCTCTGCGTGTCCGCGGCGGAACGCTTTGCTCGTAAATGACGCCGCGCTTGGCGCCCCGGCGTGCGCCGCCGCCGCCTTCATCGCGCGCTGCGCAGGCGCGACGATTGAGACGGCCCCGTTGCTGTCGACGCGCCGCAGATGCGGGAACGCGGGCGAGCCGACACAAATGCTCTCGAAAAATGCCTGCGCCGCGTGCGCAATGCACGTCGCTTGCGAGTGCGCGCACCAGCACTTCCGCGCCGCGACTGTCGGGCGGTCCTGGTGCTTACGCCGCGAGAAATGCAGCGTCGCCGAATCGCCCGAAAAGAAAATAACAACCCTTGTCCTAGGCCTGCGCAGGTCCAGGTCTGAGAAGGCGAAAACCTTAAACGCCAATGGGTCGCCTCGCTCAATCAAGAGGGCCTCGGAGGGCACACGCAAAGCGACCCCCCGGGACACCAAGAGAAGCGCGCGCAGGGCGCTGTCGGTGCTCACAAAGTCGAGCATCGCCGGTACATGCGACAGCAGCACGAAAGGCTTCGGCGGCTGCCTCACAGGGTGCCGCTTCCCGATGGCCTCACGGGCACCCCTGACCAATGGA